TGATTCTTAAAACAGTTTATTCAGTGATTAACTTAGAAAATGATACATTATTTTAGGTATTCATATTGCCATGAATGACTTGTCACTGAAATAAATGACCAACTTCTTAACCAATACATACAAACCAAACTTTTACAAAATTGTTGCTAAATTTAAACAGCTCACTTCTCTCTTCTCATGAGCAGACAGTGTATTAGTTTTGTCTCTTTCTTAGCATTTAATCTTATTTTTGTGGGATGGCTTTAGAACATGAATCCATATACCTTCTCGTGACACATACTGTAAAGTTTCTTCATATTTGTTCAAATCGTAAGTTAATGAGTCTAAGTAGAAATAAGCATTTTTTTCTAGTTCTTTTTGTTAAAAACAATATAATAAATGATTGCCCTGTGGCATTTTTTTCATGACAGCTATTACTGCTTCTTGAGATTTACACAAACTAAATGGTTTACAACTAAGGCCTTAATGACTTTTACCTTCTTGTAATTTAACACAAAACAATATACTTGCAGTCAATACTAATGTAACCTAAATAAGGTAACTGATTGAATGTCATCTTGAACTTGCTGGTCCTTCTTCCTCATAGAACTAGAAAATTAAATACTTTGCATTGTATGTGGCATATCGGACTTTACAAAATGTTTAAATTAGATACGTATATTAAACCCTGCAAAAAATTATGCAACAGAGTTATGCTAAAGTTTAAAACATGAAGGTCATCAAACCTAAGTACAACCAAATTGCTTACACAATGAAATGGTGAAGCTATGCATGGTCCACAGGTGTTACCCTTAAAATTCTTACTCCTTACTATAAAACAAATAATGCTGCTACATCTTTCAAGTATTCAAATCAAAATATCTTGAAACATTATTTTCAAACTTTAGTGAGATATGAAATTACCAAAAACAAACAAACAAACATTACAGTATTCCATTTTTCTTCTTACTGACATAAAAATATAACATTTTGAAGAAAAAATATACGTAAACTAGCTTATTCCCCCAAAAAGTTAAAAATGTCATAAAAAAATACATGGACTGCAAAAAAAAAACTAAGGTTACAAAGAAATCACATATCATGAAGAGACAAAAAATGCTAAAATAAAATGATCACAGTAGCATGCTTAGATACACTATACACTATCTAATTACTAAAAAGTTTTGACACTCAGATACAAGACAGACCTTGGCTGTACTCAAGTGTTGTCCTTTAAAAAAGAAAGGGAAAAAAGTGGTAGTGTTAAAATGAGAGATCAAAATAAGAATCCACATAATTATCTCTTTCCCACACAAGGGGGCAACAATATTAATCATATACAAAAAGGTATAACAATACCAAGCAGGCATTATATACACTGGTCCAAAGTAACATTACATGACCCATGACTTGTGGGAAGGTCACACCCTTAGGGAATTCCTTGAGTTTGTAACACATTCATGAGTCAGACTGTCAAATGCACAGAATGAAAAATGATTACATGAAGACCATTTGTCCTGTGTTTTTGGCATGCAATTGATTTTGCTTTAGCCCTTGGGATGATTTCAAATAAACAAATAACAGTAAGTAAACACATAATATAAAGTGATTGCATAACTTGCAAAGATTGACAATGTTATCTATAATCAAGACAGCATTTTACTTCTTAATGATTTAAGGAGAGCCTTAATACAGTAAGTTGTCATGAGATTTAAATGCTATGACATGGGAGGAGTAGCGTTAAGAATGGCAAAAGAAACATCTGCTTAAACTCAATAAATTTGATCTCGTGTAATCTTTAAGTGGACTGACTTTTTTTGTAGCTTTTTTCATGCCACATTCAATAAAAAAATCTCAAAATAGAAATATCTGATACCTACCTAGCTTTAAAAATAGAGATTTGGCATGCTCAAAAAAATCTTTGTGTAACTCCAAATATTAAAGCAATTCAAGATGAGGAAATATATGAAATGGATATTTTCTCTTAAAAAAAAAAATCTCTAGACCTTATAACTTAAGATCAACATTTTTGGTTTATTTAAGCACTACAACCTGTAATTCAAATATCATAACACAAATCATGTCTCAACAGAGGAACTTAAAAAGTAGATATCAAGAAGACGTCTTTGTTTTGGCAAATATTCAACAACATGCATAATAATTTCCCAAAATCAAATAATTGTAAAACACACCTATGAAAAACCTATTTGAAGAAATGTCTAAAGAGATTTTCTGATTATTCAAGCCCATATCTGACGCCCAATAAGTATCATGACCTTTTGTAGTCCACAAGCTTTCTACTAACAGCAGCTATAAGCCTATTGTGTTAACAACAGAGTAACCTGAACTGGGATAGGAACAATGCTGTATGGGCTATCAACTGTCTCCTATTATATAACCTTTACAAAACTGACAGAGAGGAGAAAAGTCACACAAATACATAATATGAGAATGAATTCAAATTTATATATAAAAACTATCTTCTTCCATGGGCTTGCCAATCCACTGACCAAGACCAGCACGAGCAAATCCTGAAATCATGGCCCTCTTGCTTGTCTGAAATAACAAAGAAAAATTAAAGAGTTACAAGTGTCACAGAACAAACAGTGATAGCAAACAGAAGCACATTTCCACAATCTATGTTATAGCATATAACACCACATAAGATATATATGTACGCCTGCAAACAGACACTAATAATTTTCTTTTTTAAACACTGGCAAGGAGGGTGATAGGGGAGAGAGAGAACAAAGAAATAGGCAGAAATTTTCTTTAGACAACAGACAATGTTATCTGGGGCAAGTTGGACCAGGTTTTGACAATTTTTTTTTATCTGCTTTCCATAATTATTGAAACAGGTACTTATATGATATTAAAAATTTGTATAATCCCAACAGTATTTTTTTCATTAGTATACTGAGGAAAGGGGACCATTTTGTGCCCCTCCCAAAAAAATATTAGGAGGGGAAAAAAGGCTATGAGACTTTCAGCAAACAGGCCTCTTTTTTCTAAGTAAATAATTGTCTTTCCTCCTATCTGTTTTATATTTTTCCCTCTCACTGCCAGACACTACAGGTACATGCACATCAAGAGGAAAGTCTTGCTTCCTCTTCATAGGCTTCTTTCTCGCCTCCTCCTGCAAGCACCCTTTTCTTTCCGTGGCATTTCTTCTGCACTTTCTCTTTGACTGTCTCACCATTCTTAGTATTGGAGTCAACCTATTTCCTTTATATTCTCTACACTTTCTTTTTTTCAAGCCTCTCCCTTTTACTGCCCTTCTTTCGTTTCCTTCTCCTCTCAACACTTGATCACTCATGATGAACCTTCCTTTTGAAATCATTCTCCTCACTTTCCAGGCTTTAAATCTATGCTTCTTACTAGGCTTTTATCAAACTGCAGCTGCAAGGATGTGATTAAACTCCAATCAGCAAGATACTCAATAACTTGGCAAATCTTGTGATGGAGGAGGCATTCCAGGACTAAGTGTACAAGATGGATGTTCAAGGAGCTGCAGTTCCAAGAATTTGATCTGACAGGTCTGTATTTGTTGAGTGTTTGTCTTTTGGTCTACCCTGGTCAGGATAGGACTAAATGCTGCTGTGTCACATGCAATGTGTATCAGGAGTTATGTTTTTTTCCTGAAAACCCATGAGGAAGTTTTTAGTTGTGAAGAACACATGAAGACCTGGGTTCTTCTGACACTTTTGCTTAAGAGCCACATTATTCTTCTTGTGTGGGGTTTAAAATGGTTTGTTTTTACCCTGGCTACACTTTTGTTGCAAGTTAAATTCAAACCTAAATAGAACATTAAAAAAAAGAGTATAACCTTTCTGTGTTTTTCACGTTAAGATAGGAGAAAAGAACCATATACTCTCCAATCTGCAAATTCGCTCTGACATGATTACCCCTCACAACATGGTTCACCAGAATGAGCCAATTTACTATGCAAATTTGCAAGAAGGCAATTTTGTTGACATTTTCATCATTTTTATTTCTGTTCTTTAATCTTATAATGTATCAATTTCTGTTTTAATAATTGCACTTTAAAATATTTGGTAGCATGGACACTGAAAACAGCAAAACTTTCATTTATACAGATACCAGCACCCTATTATACATGGTCCAAATTAGACTGATCTACTTGATGGTCAAAAAAGTGTAAAGATCACATTAACCGTTGGATCCAGGTGACGTGACCATCACGTCATGAAAAAATCCGGGTTGAGGGGTGGGTGATACGAACATGCCGTCACGGGAAAATCTTGCTATAGGGTGGGTGACGCGATCCTGCCATCATAAGTGTTGCAGTTGACAGCCGGGTGACCCAAAAGACATGCCATGAGTGCAAAAACCTATTGGGTTTATTTTACTCATCTGGCAATTTTGCATTATTCCCATCGATGTATGAGTATGGAATGAAAAAAAAGATACTACCCAAAAGGCAAAGTGTTTTGTAGTTTCAATTTTGTTTCACTGAGTTGCAGACTACCTAGAGACATGATTGGAGTCTATACAAAGAAAAAAAACTTATCATCTGGATAATACAAATCAAATGACAAACATGGGCATTGGAAAACAGTCAAAAAACTAAAAGAGCTTATGTTTAAAAGGAGTTGATAACTTGCAAATAGGAGTCATAGTGTCTTGTCACTGCGCACATGTGTTCGCGTGCGCCTGGCCAACAAGCAGCCACCTGGCAGAGCGGCTGCTCACGAAAGCCTCATGTCTGGAGTTTTTGCAATTTGATTGCTATGACATAACTGGATCCAATGATTTAAAAATGGACATGAAGAGAAAAAAGAAGAGGAAGAGGAAGAGGAAGAAAAAGAAGAAGAAAAGAAGAGAACTTGCTCATGACCTCACCTGATACTTATTAGATAAAGCTTTAACTTCCCCATAGGAGAGATGCTTTGCTGCCCCTGGATCTACTTCTGTCATGGAAGGAAGGCGTTCAATAAGACTCATAAATCTTGTAAAGAATTTCCTTTTGCACAACCGGGAACTATTTTCCCCTTCTTGTCGGCCAGTCATGGCATTGAGGACCTCGAGCTGACTTTCTTCTGCAAAAGGAAAACAAGAAGACCCATTAGCAAATAAATTGACATCTCTTGATGCTTAATTTGTAAAATCAAAAAGTTAAATAATAAAGAATACAAAAAACAAAAAGCAAAATTGATGTCTCCAAAAGTATTGCATAAACAAAAAGAGAGAAGTGTGCCAGACTTTTACCGCAGTCCCAGTTGACAGATATGGTAGGGGCTTTCTGTGGCTGTCTTGATTCTGTTGAGCTACCCTGGTTCATTCTTGGCTGGTTTAATCTGTAGGGTGGTGGCAGTCCTTGGATAGTTTGTTCTATTCTCCCACAGACAGCCCTGGTAAGAAAGCGAAAAATGTTACAACAGAAAGTGGCTATGGATTGTCACACACAATATGGTCACAATGACTCCACAAAACTAGATATTCAAATATTCTTCTTCTTAATTTTCTTAAACCCAATGCCGATGGGAATGCCCAATGTGAGTTTACTTTATTAATTATTTTTACACATAGATGGCTACACTTGTACTTAGTTACCAATAAGCCAATTATGAGTACTGCCATTTACCCTTTTCCTTGATTTACAAAAATATTTTACGTTTTTTTATTTTGCTCTTATTAATGTTTATAACATTATGTAATTATAATGTTTATAATAAAAACAGCACCATCGATGTTCATAGAATAGATTTTCCGCCAATTCAAGGAAAAGTGAAATCAGGTAAGGTCACAAGGTCTAACTGACTCCTTTGTGGCTAAGCACTAGCAGAGCCATCTATGTGCAGAGACATTAAAAAAGAAAAAAATGAACATAGGGTTTTTTCCTGGCGGCATTGGGTTAATATTTTGGTCACGCTGAGATCTCCAGTAACCTTGTCAAGGGATTCCTGAATGATGACACATTGAGGTAAAATAAATAATATAAAAACCTAGCTATGTTACTACCATATGATACTATGCTTCAAGTGTGTGTGTGTGTGTGTGGGGGGGGGTTATTAATTTTTATGCTGCAACATGCAGTTTAAATACTAATGTCCTAGTATCTTACTAAAATTATTCAAAGTCTTTCTTCTATAATCACAGTTTATCACATGAACAAACGCCAAATAAAAGTCATCACTGCCTTACAAAAACTATCCAAAGCATTCCAGTGCATGACAACTTACCTGTACATATGTGATGCACTGAACAGAGAACCTATGACAATGGATTCCAGATAGACTGGATCTAGGAAGTGGGCAGCAAGAGCTCCCTGCAGTCCAACAATATTCCAGCGCGCAATCTTGTCAGAACATGACATTGTGCGTAGACGCTCACCCTGAAGTACTCCATCCCAGGTTTGGATGTTGTCAGCACCAGCCTGGTTATAATATAAAAATATGACTTAGACAACTTAGTTTACCAAATCCTAAAACCTCAGCCATTTTCACTGCTTTTCCTTTCATTTAACACTTACAACTAGTGTGTTTTATTCACTTTCCCTTTTACTCTGCTTGTTTTCAGTATGGTTGTATAGAAGATTTTTACATGTTATGCATTTGTAATTCTCATATAACTGTAATAACCAGTCATTTGCCCTTTTTAAAATCATAGAAAAGTGGTATCAAATTATTAATCAAATGTCTAACTGCCAAAAAATCTACTAAGCTGAAACAACTTTTTTTTTTACAACACCAGGTATCTGAAGTATGATACTCAATCAACACTGGCACTGTCAGCGACTGAGAAAACACATACAAACACACGTTTTTTTTTTCTTACCTTAATTGGAATTGTACCTTCCCCAGATTCTATCTTTGTGCGTAACAGCCCACGGCTTTGCCTGTTAGGGTGGCGATCTGTTTGGTCTGCTTCCTCTTCATGGGGAGCAAAGATTCTTGCATCACCACAAGGAGCAGTGTTGATATATAAGTGGAACTTATACTGCGACTTCACTCTATAACCTTTGGTTTCTTCCAAGCTTTCAAATATACTATCTTCAGGAACTCCTGTCAAGATAGAAAAGATAAAGTAAGCATTAAGCTTGGAAGGATATTACAGTCATTATTACAACTATTACAAATACTGAATCTTTATCGGAAATCAGTCCAAAAATATCATGTCCAAAGAAAAATCATTACCATTTTCATTGGTGTCTGCCAGCTTTTCAAGCTGTGAGAAGAGGAAGTGCACGAGACATCTGCGAGCCACAACTTCGGCATGGCAATCGTTTATGCACTGGCCCTTCAGACTAAGATGTTCTCCATTAATACATTTTGTACCAGTTGCCACACTGATCACCTGTAATAACATTTAAAGCCTGTAATTGATGTATTCATTAAATATCCTATACATTAGTATATCTATTAATCTTTATCCCATTGGATCCAGGTGACGTGAACGTCATGTCATGAAAAATTTTGTCTAAGGGTCAAGTTGGCAGGCGTGTGTCCTAGTAAGAGTTCAGCTGAAGGCTGAGATAACTCATAAAGAGTTTACAAAGCTCTTAAAGTAAAACTGAATAATACGAATACAAAATGACACAACGTTCTCATGGTTATCATTAATGCATAGAGTTGTAGACTACCTACATAAACTCTTACCACAGTACAAAGGGGAGGTATGGAGATTTGATATTACACATGAGTGTTCTGAGCCTACAAGCCACACACCCAGCACAGTCACTACTAAAGTAAGCATAATGCTCAACTTTGGTCCGCATGCAGGTGAAGCACTTGGATCCAAAGAGGTGCAAGGTGCCATCATCATCATTATGATCAACTGAATAATTTTTTTCCCTACCTCTGAGGGGAATGTGAATGCTAATGCTGAGCAAAATAAGGAGAATGCTAGAAGAGTATGGCAGTGAGGATACAGATGACAATCTAGATGAATTTGAAGTGGACAGTGACAATAATGTTTATGAAAGTGTAGGTAATCAAAATATTGTGATGAGGGTAACCCAAATCCACCAAGGTGGAACCAACTGTAATGGTATGAGCTCTAATTTTTCTTTGTTTGTGTACCTGAACACATTTCTATAAGCCCAAAAATGTATGCTACTAATAAGCCAAAAAATAAATGAACAGAAAAGAAAAGAAAAAAGAGAGAGAAATTTGAAATGAAATTAAGGAAGAAAAAAAAGAAAAGAAAACAAACACACGCACACACAGACACACATATGCGCATGCATGCGCGCGCACACACACACACACACACATGCACACACGCACGCGTGCACACACACACACGCGTGCACACACACACACTACACACACACACGCACACACACACACTACACACACACGTATATATACCTATATGTACACTTGCTAAATATGGCTCCACTTGTGATCAGCCACCAAGAAATCTATCAGTAAGCCCTAGTGACTGCACCTGAATTCCCCATTCCTTGAATTTGCAGGAAAATGTGTTTTTCTTTCAAATACTTTCTCAGTCGAATGAGAGGGGCGTGAAACCCAGGACCTTGCGATTGTAGACTGCTGGCTTCGTGCCCGGCCGCCGTCCCTCTCAGTCGACTCAGCTGTGAATGCGTACTGATATGCTGATGTCAGCATGTTGGGGTCAAAGTCAGGATGGAAAGGAACTGGCCACCCTACTGCTTCATCCCGCTGCTTAGAAAGCATGTTTCTCTGCAAACATGTCCCCTACGTTCACATGGACATGCGACCAACATTGACTTTGACTATTAACTCACTGGATCTAGTTGCATCATGGTAATCACATCACCAAAAATCCTGACACTAGGCTTATATGAGTGGCAGCTCTGTCGAATGACGGCTTGCAGGCCTGGCACACACGAAAATGTGTCAAATCATTTAGACTATTTATGCATAAGCGTTTTTAGCTTTTTGGCCATTTTTCAACGTCCATATTTGCTGTTTGAATTGTATTATCTTATTATCTACTAATGATTAAAATGTTTAATAAAAACAACACCATTGATATTCATAGCACTAATAAAAAATAAATTTTCCCGCCAATTCAAGGAAAAGTGAAATCAGGTACGGCAGAGCCATTTACGTGAAGAGAAATTTCACAAAAAATATAAAAAATGAGCATAGCATTTTCCGCACTTTTTATTCAATTTCCCCGGTGGCAATGGGTTAATAAATCTGGAGGTTTACATAATTTCCAGCACCATTTCCCAATGCATGGTGAGACCCCTTAGGTTGTGGTTAGTGTAGTGGCTGATAATGTCAAGTTTGACTGACAACACTGATACTGTCTATACTCCTCCTCCTCTCTCCTTCTTTTTTTTCTTCTTCTTCTTCTAATATTAGATAAAGGTTGATTTTTTTCTAGCTACAGTACAATAGTGGCAAGAATATTAAAAACAGAAAGAAAGTATAAGAAAAAGAAAAAGTAAGACCTTCAGTTGCTTTTTTGAGAAGAGCTGTATGGAAACACAGCTCCAGAGCCCTTTTTTTAATTCTAACATGACTATTTCATAAAAAATACAGAAAAAAACACATTAAAAAAAAAAATATATTTTTATTTATTTATTTATTTTCATTTTTTTTTGTGTGAAATATGGCTCTGCTAGTGCTTAGCCACAAAGGAGTCAATTAGTAGATCTTGTGATCTTCCCTAATTTCATCTTTCCTTGAATTGGTAGATTTTTTTTATTTTTATTTTTTTTACTAATGCTATGAATATCGATGGTGTTATCTTTATTATAGACATTATAATTACTGTCATATGTTATAAACATTAGTACCAAGAAAATAAGATAATGTAAAATATTTTCATAAACCAAGGAAAAGGATAAATGGGTTAGAGAGGCAGTACTTGTAATTGGTTCATTAGTGACTCAGTACAAGTGTACTCCTCTATGTGTAAAAAAAAAAAATTAATGAAGTAAACTCACAGAGGGCATGGCAAGTACGTACATGCCATGCCCGTTGGCTTTGGGTTAAAAGAGCTCTACTTATGTCCTACCATTAGACTAGTGAACAAAATGAGCTCTAACACATAGTTTGCAGAAAAACTATGCCCTAAAAATTACAATAAGACTAAAAGGCAGGCTTTGAGAAATTACCAGTCATTTTTCTTTTTAACCCAACGCTCTGACGAACCATGGCAGCGTGCCGACTTTGAGCACATGAATTCAGTACATCAGGCTGAATCACTGGCTCGCTTTGCTTTGGCGCGCTGCCACGGTGTACAGCCGCACTCCATACAACAATACAACCCCCATGATCTGGCCTTACTTTGTGCTCTATTCTTTCAATAAGCTGTACTAGCCACAAAATAGACTGCAGTGGATAAACTAAGACACACTAGTGACAGATGACACTGGGAGTTCATTCTATTGTTCATACAATTCACATTCGGTTTGATCCTGTGCCCAGGCATCTATACACCTCACCTCATGGATGTTGAAAACAGATGACTGACATGAATGAGGAGATATTTCATTTGCCAAAACTATCTCAGAAGGGAAAGTATTTGTTTAGAAAATGATAATTATACAACTGACCATAAAACATAAAAGAATATTCCAGTTATGAAATTTACTGAATAAAAAACTGACTAGTAGATATAGACTGATTTTCACCTTTTTCTTTTTCTAGGAATTCCTTCATCCTTACATACAAGCACACGCGTCTACATGTACACATGCACTCTCTCACTTTCTCACTCTCACAAAGACTATGTATATAACCAAGAAGACTGAACATTCAAATATAACAACAACAACAACAATAACAAAAAGACTTCAGCCATTATTCTCCAGTGGTTTTTCCCTCTTTAAAAAAGTAAAAATTGACAAAGAAAAAGTAAAAGAAAAAAGCAACTAATATCAGATTCAAATCAGAATACCAGTGATCAGAGCAAAATCCCGAAACTTCATTAGAAGAAGAAACTTACCTTCATATCCTCCAGATTCTCCTCGTTCGTCATGACGATTCCTGCCAGAACCTTTCTCTTTGCGAGTGTTGGGTTACCCGAAGTAAGTTCTAAAAATTTGTCACACACCATTCTGGAAAGGTTGTTAATATCAAATTTCTGTTCACAGGTATTTACTAAATATTACTGATTTCTATTTGTTAAATATTCAAATATGAAGCCATAAATTTTTGGAACAAAGCTTGATGCAAAAGATTGTTTATTATCTTAAAAACAGGATTCTCTAGGTAGTTAATGAGGGGAGGAAGAAGAAGAAGAACAACAACAACAACAACAACAACATCAACAACTTTCTACATTTGATGACTGATTTATCATCAAAACTCTGGGTTGTATGAACAAGTCAGAAAGAATAACACTACTACCAAATGCACTGTTTCTCACAATCTTAAGTGTTCACCATTAACACATGCACACAACACTAATACTTACCATGACAAATATTCCACATCAACAAAACTGCTTTGGAAAATAATATAAACAATCTGTATAGAGTATGTCTGTTATGATGCACTTTTTGGTGTGAGAGTTCTGGTGCAACATATACAGTCATCAGATATGGGACTAATTGGAAATATCTATAGAACTGAAAATCATGGTGGCTGTGTGATTCAGCAAAGGCAAGGAAGGCAACCATGGGAGAGAGTGGGAGAGGGAGAGCAGCAACCCCAAATCCCCCAAGCTATGTTGCTGTGAGATAAAGCCCTGTGGAATTTCTGCCCCATCTTTGAGTGTTGTTTTTTTCAGCCTCTCCTGTCTAGTGACCCCCCTTCCCCCCCATGGTGCCTTCTGTTCTTTTGTCCTTGGTGTTGGGTGCGGAGAAAGCTTCTGATTCCATTTTATTTTTCTTGAAGGCCACTCCCTCATGTGCCAGCCCCAGGAGTCCCCTATTGCAATACTGTCCTGTCAAGCAACTTTGGTGCAGCCATCCCTTAGTACTACACTGTGATAGCAGAGTTACCAGGAAAAGTGGAAAATAGTACATTGATTTCTTTCATATGGACAAGCCAAAGTACAAAACCTTTAGTGCAAGTGCAAACATTTCTACCTGAACCTAACACAGCTCTAGGTTCAAATGTAAGCACATACACATACACATGCATACCCACACTTTTGGCTCTTGATATTAACCCCTTGCCGCCGGGTGACGGCGATACGCGTGTAAACAAATCGCTTGAAAGGTGGCGTGCGGCCAAACCAGCCGGCGGCGCGCCAAAGCGCGGCGAGCCAGTGATTCGGGCTGACGCCCCGTACTCCGGCGCTCAAAGTCGGCGCGCTGCCTTTGTTTGCCAGAGCGTAGAGTTTTATTTTCCTTTTGTACACCCGGCGTCATTGGGTTAATGGGTTTAATATTTATGAATCTGCATATCCTTTAGTTTGGCACTGTATTATATTGAAATTTAAGAAAATAATGGGGCATAATGATGCAGGTGTGAGATCAAAAGTACTGTGGAAAATAAAGAAAACATTAACAATATAATGGAAAATATTTATAACTATTAAATATATGCAGTACTTGACAACATAAAGAAATATTTGAAAACTATGAAGAAAGTGCACTGAATGTGGGC